TTCAAAGGGCAACTTGGTAAGACCTTTTCTCAAATAAATTGAAAAAGTCTGGGGATGTAACTCAGTGGTAGAATGCCCTTGGATTCATTCCCAGGACCACAAAAAGCAAACCCAAAACAACAAAGAAAACACTCACCTGGGCTCTGGAGTGGAGGCCCTGGGTAGGTCTGCAGCACCCAGAAATGGGGGGAAAAAGCTTAAAGTACCCATATTCGGTAAATGGGTACGTTACTGCCACTTTATAGGACAATGGTGGCACAYTTGAAAACAGATTTTGAAAATCCTGACACTTCAAAGCACTGTATGCCATAACAGGTTTTATATTTTAATCATTGCCAATTAAACAAATAAAGAATTGAATATAATTAAAGTACTTTCAGACCATCAAATCAGGAAGGGTATCAGCAACTGAGCTCAAAAATGTTCATATACTATGATTTTACCCCAAGTTAAATAAAACACAGACATAATTATACACTGATATAAGGTAGGTTGAAAGATCATTGATAATTTAACTTTTTATTTTGTTTACTCTGAGGCTATTTTGAAAATTTCACTTGGCTCAAACTTATAGACTGATTTTTTTTTTTTTTTTTTTTTTTTGGTACTTGGGATTGAACCCAGGGGCACTTACCACTGAACCAGCGCCCCCTCCTTTTTTTTTTTTTTTTTTTTTTTTTGTGGTGCATGGATTGAACCCAGGACCTTGTGCATGCAAGGCAGAAGGCAGGCACTCTAACAACTGAATATATCTCCAGYCCCCCAGCCTGTTTTATWTTATTTAGAGACAGGGTCTTGCTAAGTTGCTGAGGCTGGCTTTGAAATCACAATCCTCCTGCCTCAGCCTCCTGAATCGCTGGGATTACAGGTGTGTGACATCACGCCCAGCAATACTGTCTGATTCTTAAAATGCATTAAGTATTTGAGATCCTCAAGAAAAAATATCAAATAAATATGTAATATTTTATTAGTAGAGTGAACTCAGCATTCTTAAGGTTAARACCACTGACATACATACATGAACTAACATCAATGAAAACTTTTTTTCACTTCGAGAATGCCTTATATATTATAAAAAACAAGTAGGTTTTCTTTTATTTAAAATTTCTGTATCTTTTCTTTTTTCCTAAATCGTGTGTTTTATGTCATAAGAAAACCTGTGACCCTGCAAGACTTCATCCTGAGACCTCAGTGCTGACAGGCAGTTTGTGTAACTAAATGGCTCAGAACCTCTCAGGGCCAGGATTTGCATGTGCTCCACGGCTCGCCTGTCAGGACTCCTTACTAGATGAAGGTGTGCAAGCTTACAGAATGGCAAGAACAGAAGAAAACTTCATCTACAGTCCATAAATGTTCCCATGTTCATTGGACTACGTGACCAAGATGTTCCAAACATGCTTTCAAAACTGACTCCTTTCAACCAGAAGAAATCCTTTGGGTTCTGGGAAGACACAGAAACATACGAATGGTTTCAATTCAGCAAGTGTTTCTAGAGGGTTTCCTACATGCCCCACACGKCGTGATGGCTTCAAACACAAACCAGCACCTGGTCCAATTGTGGAGATGGGTCTCAAGGATGTAAGCAAATGGCCACCACTGAATCTGAAAAGTGAGAGGACACAAGAGAGGCAGGGGCAGCAGAGGGGTCAGTGCTGTTAGGGGTGGAGGGAAGTGATGAGGATGTCACACAGAAAGCAGCAAGAGGGCAGGGCTTGACAGGGGCTGACCACATAGAAAGAGCCCAGAATGCAAGAGCTGCAAATATACGATAGCATGATGCTCTCCAACAGCACAGGATGATGTACACACGAGGAAGGCAGCACTGTGAAGGAGAACAAAACCAGGCAGGCAAGGTGGCATACATCTGTCACCCCAGCAGCTCAGGAGGCTGAGGCGGGAAGACTGAGAGTTCAAAGCCAGCCTCAGCAATGGTGAGGTGCTAAGCAACTCAGTGAGACCCTGTCTCTAAATAAAATACAAAACAGGGCTGGGGAGGTGGCTCAGGGRTTGAGAGCCCCAGAGTTCAATCCCTGATACCAAAAAAAAGAGAGAGAGAGAACAAAACCTAAATAGATGACGCAACTGGAGGCCTCCATCACAATGAGCTTTAACTGTCCTCCAGAGTGACAGGGTGCCATGTTAACCAGGACAGCAAGTCCCTGGGGTCAGAGCAGTCAGTCAGGACAACCAGCCTAAGAAAGGAGCTACTGCCTCCTACAATGGGATAGGCGAGAGGCCAGGCAGGAAAGCGCTGGCTGCCCCTGGCCTGCTAATTCCCACAGACGGCACTGAGGCAGGGTCAAGAGTCCTGCAGGCAGGGGAAGGATCTCACAGCTGAGCAGTACTGGACAGAAAGCTCACTGGAGGCCCAGAGGAGGAAAGGGGAGGGGCCAGGAATGGAAGGTGTGGAGTCAGAGAGGAGGGCTGCCCAGCGCTGGGGAGGTAGGCTGTGAGTCCCTGTGCCCCGGCAGAGACCAAGAGCACACTGGCTGGCACCAAGGAAGGGGGCAAGCAGGCCACCTGCCCACAAGCCTGCCAGGCCACACCTGTCACCTCCTGTGCTGGGACATAGGGCACACACAACACACAGGATTTGGGCCTGGAGCAGGCCTCCTGAGGCCTCCTACTCTGAGATCTACAAAAGTTAGCCATCAACAAAGAGGAAGATGAACTGGACGGTGAGGGTTTCAGTGATGAAGGCCACCTGCAAGGAGGCTGCTGTCATGATGGAGGCGAGACAGTGGACACAGACTCCTGGAAAGTGACTGAACCCAGTCCAGACAAGAAAGGAAGTGGAGCTGGAAGGGCTGATAGACCGGAAGACAGGAGGGAGCAGAGGGGTGGAGGACCTGCGCTGGCTGCAGTGGGCCAGRCCTGAGGACAGGCGCTGGGCCAGAAGCGGAACCAGGGCCAGGGTTCTGACGTGCGACAAACAAAGGTTTTTATGAGGAGAAGGTGTGTTTAGGTGGCAGAGCCCCAACAAGAGGAATGGCAGGACTGTGCCATGTTTCTTCTTTTCTTGAACTCCCCCAAGAGGAGCTGATGACAGCAATGGAGGGTTGAGACTGGCTGGGGGACTGCATAAGCAGCAAAGAAAGAAGGCAACTGCCCAGGGCGGCCACAGGCACAGAAGCTGTGCAGAGAGAGAACCAGGACAGAGTGTCCAGAGGAGCCTGAGCAGTTGGGCAAGACTGAGGGTGATCGACAGCAAGGCACAGAGCAGGAGGGGTGGGGAAGCAGGGCGGAAGGAGACACGGCTGGAACCCACCCCAAGGCCTGGCTGGTCCCCCAGCCCCAGCACCCAGCACTGCTGCTCCAACTGCCTGGGTGGTCCCTCAAGCCCAGCACCCGGTACTGCTTCTCCAACTGCCAGTTTTCTTATTTAAACAGACTTGGATCATGGTTAAACCTCTTTCTGAGGATGTGTTTGCGTATCTGGAAGAGCCAAGATCTAATTAGGAGCCAAGGAAATTTTTAAGAAGCTCACTGGGTAGGGTACAGTGGTAAAAATACTAACGCTGTTCTTTATGCTCAGAAGCAGCTTCTGAGCACGTCTGTGCTGGAGATGTCAGAAGCCATTCAATTTGCCATACTAACTCTGCAGCACTGTACTCACATCCTTAAACTGAAGCTCTGGGGAGAGCAACCTCAACCTCACCTAACCAGGAAGACGAGGACAGCCTTAAACTGTGACCTTTTCTACCGCTTACTACAACTTAGTTGGGGATGTTTTCACATTTTCACTTGGAAGCTGTATCAGCTGCTGTTTCCTCTGATCCCATCCACGCTGGGCAGCCAGTCTGTAACATGTACAACAGCCCTCCAAATAACATACAGTTCGCCTTTCTCCACCCTGGTGATGGCTTTCCTCTTGGGTCCAATTTTATGAACTTAAAAAAAAAAAAAAAAAAAAGGCATAGCTTCTCACTGGCCTACCATTACAAAAAAAAAAAAAAAAAAAGACTGTGGCAGTGTGCTGGCTAGAGCAAATGAAGAAGCCCAAAGCTCAACTTCACAGGTACCTGACGGACTCAGGTAAGGGCAGCTTATTGAGGATGATATGGCTGAGATACCCCTCACCTCCTTTTTACCAGGGCTAAGTCTTACTTAGCAATGAGGTTTACTTTTTCCTTCTTTGCTTCTGCATCCAATATRTGTCTCTCCCCACATCATGCATAGTGAATCTTAGCCTAGTGCTTCAGATAAACTCTGTACTTCAKGCATTGAAATACTGCTTCTGTTCCCTATCGTGATCCAGAATGCTGTGCCATTTCAGATGAGATCTCACTGAATCTTCACAACCATCTAACTCAGGACATGATGATTCACCTTCTAAATAGAGTGATTCTCTTTGGACACAATATTTTAAACTCACAGRCATTAATAAACAATAAAAAAGATATCCCAAGTAAGGTTTTAGGTTATCCATACATTAATTCCAAGCTCCTCCACTAAATCTTTCATCAAATCCAATCAGAGGTAAGGGTCACCTCCTTTCAGAGTTCCTGTCCTTTCCTGAAAAGGGCACTAACATGTTTCAGAATGGACAAAAGAAAGCATGGCAGGGCAGGTGACAAGCAGGTATGCGGGAAGCTGGTGCAGCCAGCTGAGGCGTCCTTGTTCCCCACTAGGAAGGAAACTTCAGAAAACCTTTGTTTTATAAAATGGATTCACGCTGCTCAAATGTAAGAAGAGATTTCCTGGAGCTGGGGATGTGGTTCAAGCAGTAAYGCGTTTGCCTGGCATGCGCGGGGCACTGGGTTGGATCCTCAGCACCACATAAAGATGTGGTGTCCACTGAAAAACAAATATTTAAAAAAAAAAATTCTCTCTCTAAAAAAAAAAAAGAAGAGATTTCCTTATGCCTAAGTTGCTTCTTTCCTAAACAGTTTCCAGTACTCACCAGAAAGCAGGATGGGGATGGACATTTTAAGGTTCACAGGGAGGACAAGGTTGARGACTCAGGTGTGCCATCCCCGACATCAGCAGACAGCACTCACCTCCTTTGCACTCTTGATTTTAGTCAGGAACGTGTGGAGCTCCATGGTTTCTGCGAACAGTGCRCGACACACTGCCTGATAATGATTTGGTGCCTCTGACTCGGCTGGGAGATGAGCAGCACACAGCTACAGAAGAGGAAATCAACAGAGAAGGTCTGTGGTCAGGGTTCTGGCACCGGGAAAGCAGCCGCACCTATGTATGCTCCCGTGACACAGAAAGGCAACCCTCCTCGCCCAGGGCCATCAGTTCCTACACAATTACATGGGGAGGACCAGAAACCAACCAATGCCCAACAATACACCAGGCTGGCTGAATTAGCTTCTCCCTGAAAATGACCAGGCATGTATCAAAGTTTAGTTTGGGAGCAGAAAGGGAATTACCATTTACTGGTAAAAATGAGAGTATCTTAACAGTTACTATATACTCAACTGTTGTCATGCCAGGTCCTATATCTGACATGCCATTAGGCAGCCTATTATCATTTACTATTCTGTGAAACCCTGACTCTTCCCCTGTTTGTGCAAAGGAAGATGACAGTGAGAGAAGCCAGGTTAACCTGTCCACAGTCAGAGAGCCCTCTTCTCAGGAAGAGGGATCCTATCACAACACTACCTGGTTCTGAGGCCCAGGCTCACTCTAGTACATGTTGACCTTTGTAAGTAGTAAAGAATGTCAGGAAAACATTTGGACTCAGGAGAAGGTGCTTGGGAGTGGAGCAAGAGGGCAGCAGGAGCCCACTGATGCTTCCTGTCCTGCCATCCTGGACTCCACAGAGCGCATGACCCTCACATCATTTGCGGCAAAATACATCATTTAATATCATGCAGACAATATACCACTTTATTTGTTTTCAAATCTTTAAATGGTGCATTATAATTTCACATAATAGTGAACTTCATCATACATGAACCATTTATTTTATTAGATTGCAAAGATACCTCCCAGGAGTCCAATGCACCGGAATAACCATTTTTCTATAATAATTATATATCCATATACAATAGCTATATTTTAAAGTACTCCATTTACATTAAAAAGCTATAAGAGCCTGGTGTGGTGGCATACACCTGTAATCTCTGCGACTCAGGAGGCTGGGGCAGGTGGACCACAAGTTCAAGGTCAGACTCAACAACTTAGCAAGACCCCATCTCAAAAAATGAAAAGGGATGGAGATGTAGCTCAGTGGTAAAATGTCCCTGGGTACCTTAAATAAATAAATGGCTGTAAATAAATTTTCCCTTAATAAATTTGATATTAATACAATTACTAAATGAACATGTCATTACATTTTAATAACTGCCATCAATTGAAGAGTACTAAGCTGGAAATGGAAATGCCAGGGCAGGAGGAACAGAGGGACTGGGTTATTGTTTTGTTTTTTTGTTTTTGTGGGGCTGGGTAGAATGCAGGGCCAGATGCATTCATTCTTAGGGAGAAGCACTCAGTGGGAGAACTTGGTACTAGGGCTTCCTTCAGAGCCGCAATCACTGGACCACTTGAACCCAATCAGAAAGGCCAGAGAGGATGCCTGCCTGAGTRTATACTCAGCTCGCTGCCGTGTGGCAGGCACAACAATAGGAAAAGCTGTCCCCATGCTTTTATAGTGCCAGGCCTGAAAATCATGCAACAACTCCTGCCTCACACCATGCTCAATAGTCGATCTGGGAACTGTAAATTCTAATAATCACTGTGAAGGAAGTCAACAGCGTGGTGGAGGGCATGAGCTAGCTGGGAGCGGCAGCTTGCTGACCCACCCAGCACGGGACTCTGCTAGCTTGGGAAAAGATCAAGGTTSAAAACACAGTTTCTGTAGAACACGGGTCGCTTTCCACAGGTAAAGACAAATATATATGGTTAATATAATTTTAACCCTTGGACACCTAGAAAGACTTGTTTCATGTCCTAGAATGGTCAAATTTTTCATTGTTCCACACAAACCTAAAAAGAACATGTACTCTGGGTGTTGGGTGCTGCGTCCCATGATGTCAGTTTGCTCTTCCCACTGTCCACATACCCTTTCTTTGATGGATGCTGAGAGACACAAAACCTCCCTCAAGGACCATGGATCTGTCAATTTMTCCATAYAATTTTATCAATTTTAATTTTATTTAATTGAATATGTTGTTAATGCTACTATTTATAGGCTGTTATTCGGTGCACACAAATTTAGAACTGCTACTTCTCCTTAGTAAATCAAATTTCTATCACTAAGTATACTTTTTATCTGTAGTAATGTAGTAATGCATTTTAAATCCAGTTTATCTGAAAAGAATATCTACAATAGCTTTCTTTTGGTTAGAATGCTGTATCTTTTTTTGTTCTTTTACTTTCAAGTTTTCTTTGTATTTATGAATATGTCCTTTGTAAGAACATATGGCTGGATTTTGTATTTTTAGTGCAGTCTAAAAATATTTCTCTTTTAATTAGAGTGTTTTCGGCGAGTACAATCCATAGAAACAGTGTGAGCCACATACGTGACTTTTTTGAGTTTTCTGCTGAACACATAAAGAGTACAAAAAAACACTGAAACTGACCTTGAGAATATATTTTAGCTAACCTGATAAAATACATATTATACAATACTTCAAATTATAGTCAATATAAAAATTCTTAAGGAGATATTTTACGTTACTTCTGGGTGTTTTGGAATGCAATATGCATTTTACACTTTTTGCACATCATCTCAGGTAATCGAGCTGTGGCTGCTACAGTCCTGAGCAGAGCAGTCCCACCAATTCAGGTGTCAGGACACTGTCCTCCACGTGCCTCTACCTGTCCAACTGCTCTCTGTTCAAAGCTTTATCATTCTTCCCATCTCTTCTTTCACACTGTCATTATTTTATTAACTTGTCCCCTCCCCTATCATCTCAAAATCTACAAATTATTTTACTTTCTTTTATTGGCTTCCCTAGAGATGGGCCATGTTCTTCATCACAATCTAATAAATTAGTGCTCTAACCTGCTACAGTCTGGACTTGTCCCCCAAAGGACCACGTGTTGAAGACAAGGTGCCAGCTCCACTCTCTGGGAGGTGGTGGGATCTCTAAGAGGGTCTAGGGGAGTCCTGGTCACTGGGGATATGCTGCCAAAGGGGGTGTTGGGATCTCTAAGAGGAGGGTCCAGTTGGAGGCCTGGTCACTGGGGACTGCTGTCCTCTTGCTCAGTTCCTGGCCACAGGTGACCAGTTTGCTCTACCACAATCTCCCTGCCATGAAGTGCTACTTCAATGTAGACCCAAAAGCAATGGGTCAATTGGCCACAGACTAAGACCTTAGGAACTGAGCCAAAATAACTCTTCTCTTTATAAGCTGGTATTTATTCTCAGGTATTCATTACAGAAAGGSAAGGCTGGCTAACACAAACCTCTGGCCACACCATTCCAGGACTTGACAGTACTACCTCCAATTACTTTCTCACTTGTGCTGAAGTTGGGTGTTTTAACTTAGTATGGTCTAAACCAYACAAGTCATTATTATTGTTTTATTCAGCTAGTATTCCTTTTGATTTACTTTCATGTTTATCTTTTTCTTTGTTCTTCAAATCTCCCTGCATCCCTGAGCTCCACCTGGCATGGTCTTTGTTTGAGAAGCGCTCTCTCTGTCAGAAAAGGTATTTCACCTTTACTGCTGACAGTTATTCCACTGAGTAACGCTAGACTGTCAGGACTCTGAAGATGGCACTCCCTGTCTTCCCGTTCTGTCCTTTCAGCTGAGACCTTTGGTGCAGTTTCACTGGTGTTCCTTTGAAGTCAYCTTTTTTCCTCTGGCTGATTTTAAATGTGGTGTTTTGCAGTTTTGCTCTAATGAAATCAGATCATGGTGTTGGAAAAACAGTGTGTCTTCAATACCGCTATCAGCCCTTCTCTTCTTTGCTCTCCTTTAAGACTTTAATTACATGCACCAGCTTTGTGTCTGACCCTCTATTCTGCACGTTTTGTTCATTTGGTGTCCCTGTGCTTTGCTCAGTGTGTCTCCTAGTGACCACACTTTCTACAYCACTCATTTTCTTTTCAGCTCTGTCTAGTCTGCTACTGAACCAATCCATTCAACTTTTATTTTAGTTACTGTGGTTTTTTTGGCTCTCAAATTTCCATTTGGTTCTGTTGAAAATCTTTTCCAGTTTCCTGGCTCTTAAAATCCTGAACATCATTCTAAAGTCTTCACAATTCCATTATTTGAATTCCCTGTATAGAATCATTATTAATATACTGGACTCAAAGTTAATTTTCTGGAAAATTTCATCAGCACTCATRGGACTCTGCTAGATATTTTCAACAGAACTTGAAAGTATCAGCAAACCCCACCTATACTGATGTGATGAGGAAAAAGCCTATTTACATATCAACATTTTGAAACCTTCTCACTTTTGTTGTTCTGGCAAATAAAAAAACATATACATCATAAACAATGTACCAACTAGGATAAAAACCTTTATTTGATACCAAAGACCTTGTGGGTAACTTGGAAATTCTATTTATTAATAATTTATACATTATTTCTACTTAGTAATAAAATACTACACAATAAGAGACCATGAAGTTTTCCTGAAAACTTGGCATAATTAATAATATAGTTTTTGTTTAAGTTAGAAGGTGGTCAGTATGTCTACCTCTTTTTCTGTAATGCATACCACAATATGTTCGAGATCTTTAACCATAGAACTGATATAATCAAAATTACATTCTCTCAGTTATTTAGCATTTATCACATCAGAGTACTTTATTAATACTACTGAATTCCTACTCTGGTTTGATCATCACAGATTGTATGTGTGTACTCAAATTTCACACTCTGCCCCATAAATAAGTGTCAATCCAAAATAAATTTTAAAATATTAGCTTCCAGTTTTTCCCATAATTTGTTCTCAGATACAGAAATTCAAATGTTTTTAACTATATTTAGTCACAAACATTCATAGTGTAGAATCTTTTTTTTTTTTAAAGAGAGAGAGAGAGAGAGAGAGAGAGAGAGAATTTTTTTTTAATATTTATTTTTTAGTTTTCGGCAGACACAACATCTTTATTTGTATGTGGTGCTGAGGATCGAACCCGGGCCGCACGCATGCCAGGCGAGCGCGCTACCGCTTGAGCCACATCCCCAGCCCCAGTGTAGAATCTTATTTGCAAAAAAGTACCATATTGSACCGGTGTTGTGCTGTGATCAGTAGCGGAGCGCTTGCCTAGCTTGTGTGAGGCACCATGTTTGATCCTCAGCACCACATAAAAAATAATAATAAATTTTTAAAAAGATATTGCATCCATCTACAACTAAAAAAATTGTTTTTAAAGTACCATATCAGTATTTTCAACTACATAATATAAAAATGTTTTCCCACTGAGCGTAAGCATGTATTTATCACAATAACAACAAMAAAAAAAAAACTACATGACAATCTTTTTGATTAACTCAGCACCATACAGTTAACCAAGATGGATCACTAAATCTCCATCTCCTCAGTGAGAAAAGCAGCACACTTTCCACCAGACTTTAGAACTCAGAGGACAAGTACCAGGAAGGGTGGAGAAGTTTCTCTCCATGGAGCCACTCCAGGGAGTGGTGCACACTGTCCAGTAAACTAACCTGTGTGTACAGARATCTTAATTTACTGGCTCCACCAAACATTCAGACTTCCCTTGAATAAACTCTGTAAGCCTAGGCCAAATTAAAGCATAAATGAAAAACAGATGGGTCCTGTTTCAGCTGTTTGCAATAGATGAGCATTTTGAAAAGGAAGATTCTGCATGGACAAATCTAGTTTAGTATTTATAAAATTAAATACATAAAGCTCACTTCTAATCCTACTTTACTATTCTTAAATTCTTCCCCTTTTAAAATAACAGGCAGGCCAGGCACAGTGGTGCACACCTATAATCCCAGTAGCTTGGAAGGCTGAGGCAGGAAGATCCCAAGTTCAAAACCAACCTAGGCAACTTAGCAAAGCCCTAAGCAACTCAGCAAGGCCCTACGTAACTCAACAAGATCCTGTCTCTAAATAAAATATAAAAAGGGCTATGGATGTGGCTCAGTGGTTAAGCACTTCTGGTTTCATTCCCTGGTACAAAAAAAAAGTAGGCAAATTTCCAAATTACAACTGTATATATCAACCAAAGAATCTACCACCTTTTTTCTAAACATGGCCTGTTATATGTAATCTATTTAGGTATGGGAGATCTCATTCAAAAGTATGAATTAGCACTGAAACAACTTATAAATTTTAACTAAGAATTTTACGTATTTTATTTACTGTACAAATGATAAATAATAAGAGGAAGGGAGTTTCTGAAACCAAGTGATTCCCCCGCAGTCATAATACGACTGACATACAACTTCAAATTGCCAGAGTTTCTTTTATTCTTTATCTAATATATGCAAATTTTGTGGGTTTTCCCCCCAAGTATTAAAACTAAAGGGGGTTGGGGGTGTGGCTCAGTGGTAGAGCGCTTGCCTAGCACGTGTGAGGCMCTGGATTCGATCCTCAGCACCACATAAAACAAAATAAATAAAATAAAGATATTGTGTCCATCTACAACTAAAAATTAAAACAAATAAATAAAAAAAACTAAAGTTTCTCTACAACCGCAGAACCCATGTGATTTTAATGTGACAGCCTGTACAGTATTCCACTTCGCTGCTAAACCAGGTAGCAACTCATTCCTCTCCGCCATTGGTTTGTAGCGTGAGGGCAGAGTCAGGATGCCATGCACATCCCTGGGTACATGTTCTATCTGCCCCCTCCCACAAAAGTGCCAGTGCAGCAGGCACACTCTCCCCTATGCTTTCAAGTAAAAACCCTGGAGATTTCTCCACAAGGTATGAAGTGATAGTCCTTAATCCTTATGGCTTCCTAGTACTCCAGCGAGTGGTTGTAACATAGTTGAACTAGTCCCCAATTAATGGACAATCAAGTTTTTTCTAGACTTTAACCTTTTTTATTATAGTGAACTATTTCGAACTTTTTTAATAAACTGACAAATTATTTTTCATCAGGAATACATAAATTTACACTGCTGCTATTAATTACCAAGCAAAACAATTTGCCACACTTYCAAATTTCAACAAAATAAATTGTTTGCAAAATAAATTGTTGCAAAAGGTATTGCTTTATGTTTCCAACTGTCAGAAAGAGGGAATGCTGCAGGAGAAGAGAATCTTCTCAGCTGGGTTCCTCCCCTCTGTGCTCTCAGAGTATCTCACATCCACTCTAGGGGCCACCCTTCCATTCTTGCTCGTAAGAACAACCCATCTAGAAACTCCTCATGGCCAGCCCTGCCTGACATGCCTGCCCTATGTCCGCCTTGCTGCTGTTCACTTAACTTGCCTCTCCCCCATACGGTCAGCTCTGAGAGGAACCACAACTCACTCCTTGTGGCAGGCGATCCAAATGCCCACTGCCAATTCCCAAAGAAGGCACACCAGAGGCTCACAGGATGTTTAAAGATAAAGCCCAGCACGGATACCACTCTCCTATTAGCCCTCGGTCACTTCTCAAACACCCTCAGGCCCCACACCTCCGGGGTCTTTCAGGCCCATCTGTCACTGTTTCAGGGCTCGCTCTTCCCTTCCTACCTGTGCATCTTAACCCACCTCACCCCCTGCACTGTCCACTGGACCACGACAGTTTTCTTCCTAACACACAATGTGCATCCAGGGATATACTTTTATATATAAAAATAATGGAGCCAACTTTTCTTAATACTTTTAGAGRGCCGATGCTCATGTTTCTCAAGAAACACTTAAAACTGGAAGTATTTTACATGCCATATTCTAAAAATTTAAAAAAGCACATGTTCCAGTCCTGACATAAATTTGTGCCTGCAATTTATTGTGCCTGAAATTTCAATGGCAAAGAACTCTCRAAAAATTCAGGGAAAAAAACTTATGCAGGTGCATTTGTGCTTCCAATTTCATAGACATCCCAAGAATCAGAGGCCTATAGCTTGTGTGTATTCTGTTTCTATTACAGTTAAGAGCCACCGGGGCCAGGTGCAGTGGTACATGCCTGTAATCCCAGCTGCTCCGGAGGCTGAGGCAGGAGGATCACGAGTTCAAAGTAGCCTCAGCAAAAACAACTCAGTGAGACCCTGTCTCTAAATAAAATACAAAATAGGGCTGGGGATGTGGCTCAATGGTTGAAAGCCCCCCGAGTGTCTTACATATGCATATTATGGAGTGTCTTACATGTGCATATTATGGTAACAAAAAAAAAAAAAAAAGCCATCCAGGTAGAGACCCTGCATATTTGTTACACACTAAAGAGGTCCTGCTCACTAAGAATTGAAGACTAATTGACTCCAAGATGCTGGTTGCACTGTTATGTGTCTCCCACCCCTACAGTAAGGGAGTTCTTCAGCTGACTCTTACCTTCCCTCCTGACAAAGTCAAGGGTGAGGTTTTTAACCCACTGGCCAGACCATAAACTACCATAAACTCTTTCTCAGGTCCTAAGTAATGGGTTTTATGATATTTTAAAAGTTCAGTTTACTTGTCTAATGTCTCAGCAATTATTTTTCCTCCTGTTTAGCTAAAARGGACACTCAGAACATATTATTATAGGTGTGGAAGATTTTTCAGTATATGTCAATACACGTGCACAGCATGTGCTGACCAAATCCTCCTTTGACCCACCCGTCCATTCCCAATCGGCACTGGTCACTATCCCAAGCTCAGGTCAGCTTGGTTCACCTTCCATATGAGGGAGCTTGAGGCACTTGTCTATGCCTGGCTTATTTCACTTAACATAATTTCCTCGTTTGTATTTTAAAAAAATAAACCTTAACATCTAGAAAACAGAAAATGAATACAATGTGTGAAATTTTAATTTGTATGTATGTGAGGACATTTTATTTGTTGAGGACACTGATCTAAAATGGAAAGTACTACAGCCCTTTTTATTTCTTATTTTGAGACAAAGCCTTGCAAGTTGCCAGGCTGCCCTTGAACTAGTGTTCCTCAGGCCTCAGCCTCCCGGGTGGTTGGGATTACAGGTTTTTATCATTATATTTTTAAAACAGAAAAAGAAGCACTCTAGAGAAACCAGCACTATGCTGCCATGAACTGGTGCTTTACCTTCATGACGTCTCGGTAGGACCGCACGGCAGAGACGGCCCTCTTCTCATCTTCCTCCTCCTCCAGGCCCTCGTCTGCAGCCTCGTAGCCCTCGTCCTTGCTGCCATCGGCCTCCACMGTGTTGGCCATCCGGTCGATGAGCTGCTCCAGGGGAGGGCTTAGCTCCCGTTCCTCATTCTCCTTCCAGTGCTTTATAGATAATAATTCCCAAGGACTCGATAACCTGGGAACATTAAAGAGGGGGTTAGGGAGGTGATGGAACCACTCTACAGGACCAAGTGGAAGATGTGACACATTCAGAATGATACTTAAGCTAGGTCTGATACTGTTCCATTTCAGATATGTGACAAAGTAACTTTAAGGAGTGTCTACCTATGCATACTATAAAAACAATTCAATGGAAATCTTTGCTTCCCTCAAACCAATACATGATACCCACAAACCATTTTTATATTTTCTTGGATTTATAAAATRTTAAGATCAACATTCTCCTTTCATTTAAAATTCTAACCAGGTTGATTTTTACATTTCCCCAAAGTATTTCTGAGAACAGATAGAATTATTAAGGGAACATATCCATTCAGAATTCTTATTCCAATGTTTGAAGATTTCATAGACATCCCAAGCTGAGAGGCATAAATTCAGTTCTGAGTAGCAAATAACTTACACCTTTTGAGTTACATTCAATCCCTAGAAATGTGTACTCTCATGCAATACAAACACTCTTCAAACCCTCAAGTTGCAGAGTACCCAGACGACCCTCCCTGCCTCCACCTCCAACACCAGGACCAGGTAACTAACACAAACCTGATTCACAAATACCAGACACACTGCTGCTGCGCAGTCTTCTCACGACCACACCAGACACAGCCAGCACAGGGAACTCTATTCTTCAACACTTCCTTCCTTTTCTGCTCAGAAAAAATATCACAGGACTGGGTGCGGTGGCACCCAATTATAACCCCAGCAACTCAAGACGCTGAGGCAAGAGGATCCCATGTTCAAAGCCAGCCTCAGCAACTTAGCAAGGCCCAAGCAACTTAGCAAAACCCTGTCTCAAAATAATATAAAAAGGGATAGGGATGTGGCTCAGTGGTTAAGTGTCCCTGGATTTAATTCCCAGTACCATCAATCAATCCATCCAGCCACCAATTAATCAGTCAATATTTCTTGTTGAAAATACATATTCTGATTAGTTTGTACGGTCATTGTTTTAAAAAATGGGTATGAACAATGCTCTGGCGGCCTCTCCTGGCAGCTTCCTTGGCCAAACCTCCCCCAGAGCTGGAGCCCTCCGCATCCACAGGGCTTGCCATTTGCCCCTGGGTTGCGACTTGTATGTCATACTGTTATCTTAAAACCTGCACATGAATAAGTAATGACCAGCACAGCATTGATGTTTGTCTCCTGGCTGTCCCTGCAYCAAAGTTCAAGTTCCACCAGGCCTGGGAGCTTGCGTGCTCTGTTCACTATATACATCTACAGCACCTGGCTCACCACAATGCCAAATAAATATCTCATAAGTAATAAATGCATTGATTTATAAAAGAAACACATCTACTTCTTAGTTTCTTTCTGCAGACATAAAGTGAAAGAGTAAACAAAATTTTTTTTTCAGAAAAGTTATAGAATTTTTATCTTAACAATCTAAGTTACTAAGAAAAGTCATTTGAGGGCTGGGGATGTGGCTCAAGTGGTAGCACGCTCGCCTGGCATGCGTGTGGCCCGGGTTCGATCCTCAACACCACATACAAAGATGTTGTGTCTGCCGATAACTAAAAAAAAATAAATATCAAAATTCTCTCTCTCTCTCTCTCTTTCTCTCTCTCTCTCTCTAAAAAAAAGAAAAGAAAAGAAAAATCATTTTGGCTACATTTGAATACAAATGATTTGGTTCTTTTTAAAATGTAAAAATAGAATAAATATGCTAGTGTTCCCAAGGCTAAGTTCTCCACAATCATCAACTCCCACCACCTCTTATCTGAAACCTTTAAAAGCAGCGTGTTAGAACCTTCAGATGGTTAGAAAGGTTAATCCCACAATTCCCATATCTCAGTGGGATCTGGGGTAGTACTTTATAATCAAGACCTTAATATTCCTGTAATGAAATGTTTGATCATTTACATTGAATAGAAAAAGAAAGACTATGTATATAGTTTCATACTGGTTACATTTTGCCACCAAACAAGTTGGATACCAAACTTTGGAAAGAACATTGGTTTCTCAGAGCTGCTTAAACCACAACTTGGCACTAAGGGCCACGCGATGGTCCACCACCAGCAACAGCAGTGAGACTGCTGAGGCTCTGGGAAGAAGCACGGGTTCATCAGGCTGAATATAGCAGCGTCCAGGTTAAGTTTTCGTTTACTTTTTGTACCTGGAAAACTGGAATTCAGTTCTGTTTATTCTGTTTGGCAGTGGAAGAACAAGAGGAAGAGAAGGACCTTCCATCATTAAAATGCCAAGCACCATGGACCTATTTAGCATTCTGATGAAGCACGATCTTGTCTCATAATCATGTTCTTAAACACATAAGAGATTATGAAGAAAACTATWCTAACCTACAGCTATTAAAACCGAGTGCGGCAGTGCACCCAGTGGCGGACCCACTGATTTACAGCAGTGATGGTGCATTGGYGATATCTGCAAGAGCAACTGCTTAACTGAGAAAATCAGGGTCTCTGTTAGTGACAAAGCTCCAATATGCTGATACTAGTATGTCTGTCATCTAGACTCAACTGAATAAAATGTCTCATTTAATTCAGAGGGTAACAAAGTAACCACTGCTTTCCCCACCCAAGTTCACACACAACCCAGAAAGCGGAGTGAGAATCCCATTCTACATTCTATAGCAAAAAAAATCTTTCTGAGCCCTGGACATACAGTGTTCATCTGTAAACTTATGTAAAAATCAAATGAACAATGTACAAAAAAAACCCCATGCCACAATCATGTGGGGTTTATCCAAGGTATGTAGGAAATGTAACAAGCTTTGTTCTTCATTAACATGATTTACCTACATAGACAATCCAAAAGAATCTGCAAAAAAACTCTTAGAATAAGCAATTATAGTAAAGTTGCAGTTTACAAGGTCAGTATACAAAAGCAAACAGCCTTACTAAATATATCAGCAATGAACAAGTGGAATTTGAAATAAAAAACATAATACTATTTATATTAGCACTCCCCCCACCCAAGAATGAAATGCTTAGGTATAAATCTAACAAAATACATACAACATCTACATGAGGAAAACTACAAAACTTTGGTGAGTGAAATTAAAGAAGTAAAACGGAGAAAGAGTCCATGTTCATGTACAGGAAGACTCAATACTGTCAAGATGTCAGTTCTTCCCAACTTGATCTACATATTCAATWCAATTCCACTCACGATCTCAGCCAATTATCTTTCAGATATCAAAAAGCATCCTCCCCCACCCCGTGCCRAGTTCAAACCCAGGGCCTTACGCACGTCAGGCAAGTCCTCTACCACCTCTACCACTAAGCCACCAGCAGCAAACAGTCCAAGGTCACACGCAGAGGCATGGACCTGCACAATTCCTACTCTACCCGGCAGACCACAGTGCCACCTGGGGCCTCCTGGAATCAGCGCAGCCCAGAGCCCAGGTCCAGCGATCCCTAAGATACCTAAAAGTCATGATCACTTCCCTCTCCCCAAGGTGCAGCTGTCCTGGTGCTATGACTTGAAYAGTCTGACTGTGTCCTGAAGGTCTCATCTGTTGAATGTGTGGTCCCCAGTGTGGTAATGTGAGAAGTGCTGGTACCCCTAGGTTTCTGCGGGCACTGCCCTTGGAAGGTCACACAGTAAATCCATCCATATGTAGAAGAGCAAGCCAAACCCTACCCGCTCCGTGGCCTCTGGTCTCACCACATCACCTCCCCTTCTCACACACACTCTAGCCACTGTGGTGCTCTCTGCCACGGGGCTCTTATCAGAGTGGAGTGGAGTCTGGAACCATGCTCATGGACCCCCAGAACTATGAGCTAAACCAACTTATTTTCTTGACAAATTACCCAGACTCAGATATTCTACAATGGAAAATAAACTAATATACCCAGTAAAAGGCCAAAGGTCCTTTGGGGAAGGATTAACAGTATCAATTTTTGGCAGTGTACTAGGATTCTTCCTCAAGGGAAGCCAGCCTCCATACATTCAATGGGTTCTGGGTAAGCTAACAGCTCAAGTGTGGGACTGACTGTGAGACTGTGACTACTTTTACGCTTCAGGCCAGGCTTGTTTACTTAATCTAGGACTTTTTTGCTTATTTAACTTATAGGAACACCATAATCAACCAAACCAAGACAAAGGTCTGTGTGAGCCAGATCATTTTGAAGCTGCTCTACTCTGCTGCTCATTACCGTAGCCATGCCCACCATGCCCTTGGTTATCCAGTGCCACCATGCAGCCCTGCCACCCTCCCTTCAGCTACTCCCCTGCTTTTAGGTTTCCCAGTTCAGGAGCCACGGCTTCCACTGCAAGGTCTGGCACACACATCAAAGCGCTCTGAGCTCCTCAGGGATGCTGCGGAGGGCTTCTCCTCACRCTCACAGTGGAAGGTGTGTCTTCAGACCCCCCAGGTGGACACATGGCTCTTAAACGACAAATCAATTCTAACATTTTTTTTTTCATTCTTGCCACAGCTTATCTTTGCTACTTGATTTTCTTTTACTACACATCACAAGTTCTGATAAAAATTGTGATGTCCTGGTCCTTCCCTCTCCCTTGGATGCTCTGTGCTCGTCTCTAGGCCTCTCTGAAAATGTCATTCCTACTTCTGCTCAGCTTTCTCCTGCATTGCTATATTCAACACCTGTGCATTTTTCATCCCACTACTTAAAAAAACAAACAAACAAACAAAAAAACCCTCCTGATACCTCCACAGCCCTGATGGACATCACATCATCACCACCCCCTCCCTTCCAGATGAGATGAGCACGGGACCTTCTGCATCTCCACGACCTTGGCTTGCAGCCTTCTGTGAAGTATATGTCCTAATCCTCCAACAAGACTAAGCTCCTTGAAGACAAAATCCTTCGAAATTCATCTTTATATATTCAAATTATTTATAAATAGTAGGGACTTAATAGTCAATTAATGAATCAACCAAAACATAAATTTCTTCCACTCAGACCTGTGTGGTATCAAGTTAGATGTGGAATTCACAGACACWGGGACA